TATATATATATATATATATATATATATATATATATATATATATATATATTAAAAAATATAGTTTTAAGGTATATTATATTTATGGGTGACGGTTCTCTATATCAGGGATATAACATATGTTACTGGTTGTTAGAGAATATAAAACAATATACAGTGTAACCCGGATATAAGAGACCCGGATATAAGAGAAACCCGGATATGAGAGAGATTTTCTCTGGTCCCAAATTAGAGCCATATATATAAAATAGAACAAACCCGGATATAAGAGAAACCCGGATATAAGAGACTTCTTCTCCGGTCCCGACAACTCTCTTATATCCGGGTTACACTGTACTATTAAGGTGAGAAGACAATAAAAGTACAACAATTCAAAACACGAAATACAACCAGTGACACTCACTTATATTCTTGAAAATCAAAATTGATAGGGAAGCAAAGATTTAGAAGAGAGTTCCACAAGCAAGAAGTGCGAAAAAGGAAACTATTAGCATAAAACTTACGGTTACATAAAGCCATTTCTACTGTAAAATAGTAAAACCTTGCCGCCAATGTAATATAGACACCAGTAGCCTTCACTTTCAAAGACACTGTTTATGTTAATTTTTTAAATTGGTTAATGCCTAAAATTTGATTTTATAGTAAAATAATTTTGGTGAATATCAAATCTTTTATTCAATAAGTTTAACACTTTCCTTCCATATATATATATATATATATATATATATATATATATATATATATATATATATATATATATATATATATACTCGGAGAACGGCAGAGGGAAAGGAATTTTTAGCGTTTTCTATACGATATACGCCAGCGGCTAAGAGAACTCAATTCGTACTTGACGAGTAATTAATTCATAGCACCAGCAGCCAGTGTTTTAATTAATTTATCCTTTTTTTTAGAGAGCTCTATCGAAGGGACTCCGAGAGCATTTAGAAAAAAAAAGTATAAATTTAATAAAAACAGTTGCCCACTTTCAACGGTTAAAGACTTTTTTAAATTTATCCAAACTGTAAATTTCAAACGTTTTTTTTTTTTTTTTACCCTTGGAAGTGGGATCTGATGAAACAGGTAAATAAATTATAATCAATAGACCCTTAAGGATGTCTGTTTTCTAATTAAATTGAATTAATATATATATATATATATATATATATATATAGATAGATAGATAGATAGATAGATATATATATATATAATATATATATATATATATATATATATATATATATATATATATATATAGAGAGAGAGAGAGAGAGAGAAAGAGACAGATAGACAGACAGACAGACAGAGAGATAGATAGATGGTTTGCACAATGGTAGCGGTTTGGGTTGAGGAATCGGATAGCCGAGTTCGAATTACAATCGAATCACTTACGTGCTAATACACTTGAGAAAGGTATAAGTCCTCTTTTTCTCCTCCTCCAGATATGGTTAAATAGTAGGACAGAATTAGATGGCAACTAGTCTAGGAGAATGACAACACTGAATTAAAAAAACAGCGGAGGTCGTGTGGCAACCTTGAGGCACACGGTGCTACAGGTCACCCTATTCGGCCCTTTAAAAGTGTCATTGGTTCTGCACAAAACCTTCATTAACATAATCAAATAAGGATAGCGTGTGGTCTTGTTGGCAGTTTCTAGGAACTGAGTTGCTGAGTTACGATATCGACAGGAGAGTCCAATATATATATATATATATATACGTATGTATGTATGTATCGTACAATCTGAGGCCTAATAAAAAATATATATATATATATATCTATAGAATCTATATATATATATAATATTTGATGATCGAGTGTCAAATGCCGACCTTTTTGATCGGGAGAAAAATGCCGACCTTTTACCATCGAAAATATATATATATATATATATATATATATATATATATATATATATATATATATATATATATATATATATATATATATATAAAAAAATATGTTGTAGTGGTTCCAACGAGAGAAAAGTATGTATATTAAAAAGAAGAGAGGTGCCGCAAACGTTTTTTGTTGTAATGTGGATTTATTTAGAAAAAATCAAAAAATATATTTATCTCATTGGTATTGTTATTTTTGTTTGGGAATAAATTGGATTTGTTTTTTACTAGTGACTCATCTGTACTACTTTTCGCTATTGTTAAATATTTCTCTTAGTCTCAGTTTGCGTTCAAATTCCTTAATGTCTTTTTTTTAAGTCTACTATATTGCTTTTTTTAGAGCAGGGCAAATTTTAGGCCCAATTTCAGTAGGTTGATTTCGTCATTTGTAAGTGTATATGTAGATAGGTTTTATTATTTTGGGTTTTGTGTCATCTAAACTGGTTTTCTTGTTCGGACTGGGGCTTCTAAAATAATGATTGTTTCTTTTAATAATCTCATTTTTTCTTTTCCTGTACATTTTGATTTTCTAGGGTTTCCCTTAAAAAGATTGTTGTTCTTCTTCTATATAGGTGTGTTTGCATTTTGAGGGGGCCTGTTTCTAGGTTTGTTGTGATTGATTGTTGTGGATTGTGTGTAAAACTTTTTGTTGAAATTCTGGTTGTACTCCTGGATATAGGTAATGGTTGCCTTTTGGTTTGTTGTGCTAGTTCAGATTTTCCTAGGTTTTGTTGAATTTGTGTGTTGATTTTGACTGTTTGTGTTATGGTGTGGTGGTTTTTGTGAAATTATTTTTGTTCACTGTATGTTCATAATTGTATTTTTTGTGTGGGTTGAATGCGTGTGGTTTGGTTTGGGGTTCTGCTTTGTGTATGTGTTTGCGTGTAGTAAACAGGATAATTACTTTGTGAGTTTGTTTGTGTGTTTTGCTGATCTTTTACTGTTTCAATCAAAAAACTGGTATATTTCAACGCCATCAAAATAAAGAAACAACAAAATTTTAGAAATGGATGAAATATTTATTCCAAGGAAATTCATGTTTAACCCACAAGACACGGAAAAACAAAACAAATAAAAACACACTAAGCATAACAAAAATGTTCGCCCAAATTGAAATGCAAAACAGTAAACTTTACAAAGAAATACACAGAGATTGATAACAAATTATTAACAAAAATCAAGGAATTATGTACCAAAGAAACTCACCATTCCTGTTTGAATTATGGATTCAAAATGTAAAAAGAGGAAGAAAATTTATCTTGTAAAGCAAGATAACCTGGTTAAAACATTACCAAGTAAAGAAAATTGGAAAATGAGACAAAACAAAAAATACAGTCCAAACTCACAAAAAACCCAATACCCAACACAAAACAATCATCAGCAAATCCAGAGAAAACCACTCAACAGAAAAAAACCGAATCCCTACTACCACACACAAACAGACCCAAAAGGTAAGCACTAACACATTCTATACTACATCCATAAACAAACTCACAAAGTAATTATCCTTTCTACTACACGCAAACACATATGAAGCAGGAACCCCTAATACAACCTACTGAAATTGGGCCCACATAAAAAACTCAATTATGAACATACACTGAACAGCGCAAAATAAACCTGTACAACCACAATATAACACAAACAGTCAAAGATCAGAAGAACACACACACATTCACACAACCAACTCTTACCCATAAATACCACCTTTGAACCTATATCCAAACTGAGAAAGTTCTACACAAATCCACATACAATCAATACAAAAACAAAAACCTAGGAACATCTGGAACAGGCCCCTAACAAAAGCAAACACACCTATATAGAGCCATCGAGAAAACAACCCCAATTTTACCAAGGTACAGAAACTCAAAATGTACAGGAAGAAGGTATCTCTTAGAAAACCTGAGATATATTAAAAGAAACAATCATTATTTTTAAAAGTCCGAACAAGAAAACCAGTTTAGATGACACAAAACAAAATAAAAAAACCTATCTACATATACAACAAATGACGAAATCAACCTACTGAAATTGGGCCTAAAATAAAAGCAATATAGTAGACTTAAAAAAAAGACATTAAGAATTTGAACGCAAACTGAGACTAAGAGAAATATTTAACAATTAGTACAGATGAGTCAAGTAAAAAACAAATCCAATTTATTCCCAAACAAAAATAACAATACCAATGAGATAAATATATTTTTTTGATTTTTTCTAAATAAATCCACATTACAACAAAAACGTTTGCGGCACCTCTCTTCTTTTAATATATATATATATATATATATATATATATATAGATTTAGATATAGATAGATAGAGAGAGAGAGAGAGAGTGAGTGGTGAGTGAGTGAGTGAGTGATAGAAAAGAAAGGAGGCACTAACGATGGTATAAATGGCTCGGATTAAGGAATCGGATAGCCGAGTTCGAATGTATGTATATATGTATCCGTACAATTTGAGGCCTAATATATATATATATATATATATATATATATATATATATATATATATATATATATATATATATATATATATATATGATGAACCAGCCCAACGTAGTTGTGATTGCATTATGAAAGTCTCGATGGTACCAATGTTGCATTTCTCCAAAAGGTCGCCATTTGACACTCGATCATCAAATATTAAGCCTTAGATTGTACGGAGACGCCCTTTATGGAAGACATCTGATCGATTAGTCCAAGTTTCAGAGGCATACAAAAGAGTTGACAAAACAACAGCGAAACAAAGGAAGAGTTGATTTTTGCAATGCGATTAACAATCCCATCATCAAGTGATGCACTTGAATTTACCATGCTCCCGAGATATGTAAAAGATTCCACATACTTAAGATTCTTTCCATCAACTTGTAAAGGGACCTAATATAAAAATATATAGATATAGATATAGACACAAACAGACAGGAATCTGATAAAAACACTTCTTTCACCAGCATCCTAATTACATTTATATATATATATATATATATATATATATATATATATATATATATATATATATATATAGCTTTATCAAAAAGCATGTTTTTAATATATTCACTTGTTGAAATGTCATTTGATACAAATCTCTTGTTATCTGTTCATGCGCTTTTTATCTACCAATCTACAAATGCCCAGCGTGTGCGCAGAGTCCTTATTAAGGTCGTCTCTCAGACCATTGTCAGTGATTCGACTTTACATTTCATACTGTCCGGCTCGTAGGAGACAAAGCCAACTTTCATAAATATCCTTACAGTTCTGTCAGAAGAAAACATCTACAATAAAACAGCGGTTAATAACCTCCTCTCAAAGACAATTGTTTTTTTTATCAATATCATCACACGCAAGTCAGTAAAGCCACTAAAACACGGCGGTTTACAGGGTGTGTAAGAATTCGGAACAAAAACATTAATAATGAGTGGGTAGAGGAAAGAGTAACCAGGAGTGTATTATTAGATGGTGCAATGCATTGACGAATCGGACACCTCAGTTCACTTAGGTGCTAATACCCTTCAAAAAGATATGGCTCGATCTTTTCTCCTCCCATATCTATGGGTAAACAACCAGGACTGATTAAGTCATATAGCCTTGGTTGGCAACCGGTCTAGGAGGAGGAAAACTCTGAATTCAACTTGAGGAGGATTGTTTGTGGACCTTGTAGCACGCAGTACATCAGTTCTCTGTGTTCGCTCTTCCAAAAACTGTGGTCTTTCCTGACTCTGCTTGTAGTCTCGCTGTTTAATTTTAAGAACTGATTTTCTATAACCTCATACGTAGAAAAAACGACATGAGATCCTTCATATATATATATATATATATATATATATATATATATATATATATATATATATATATATCTATAAAAATAAAATATACACTCTTTAAAGAGAAAATAGCAATATTACTATTAAAACAGGTTTAAAAAACTACATTGCATCAATATTTTTCTAGAGATCCATTATTCAAGAATCTAATTTATCTCTTACGAATACATAAAAATCAATATATATAATAAATAGGCAGGAGATATACATTAATGAAAATTTGTTCAAAACATCCTGCAGCGTCTGACTAACTTTTACATACTTTAATATCCAGAATCTTTTCTTACACATATTTGAATATTATGTCTTACTTCATTACACGTGACACTTATCCAATGTAAACATCTGACTGCATTTTACTAACTTTTACACATTTTAGGGTCGAGAATGTTGGCCACACATATTTGAATATTATCTGTTACTTCCTTACACGTGACACGTATCTAAGCAATGAAATAGCCTAATACAACATACCATTAATCTGCGACTCTTTGCTTTTAATCATTTTCTATCATTTCGATCTTGATCTCTGATGAAGCTTTGATAAAGTGAAACACGTTAGTTTAAGATCTTGTTTACTACTTGTTAGTTTTCCTATCATTTTGTCGGGTTCCTATCCATAAACGATCTATCTATCTATCTATCTGTCTATCTATCTATCTATCTATCTATCTATCTATCTATCTATCTATCTCAGTCTCTCCATTATCTATCTATCTATCTATCTATCTATCTATCTATCCCAGTTTCTCCATTATCTATCTATCTATCTATCTATCCCAGTTTCTCCATTATCTATCTATCTATATATATATATATATATATATATATATATATATATATATATATATATATATCTCAGTCTCTCTATTATCTATCTATCCATTTCAGTCTCTCTATTATCTATATATCTATTCATCCCAGTCTCTCTATTATCTATCTATCTATCTATCTATCTATCTATCTATCTATCTATCTATCTATCCCAGTCTCTCCATTATCTATCTATCTATCTATCTATCTATGCAGCATCTCTTCATTCAAGCATGTTTAATTAAGTCATATAGACATATTATGTCTATATATTTTCATAATAATCCATTTTAGTTCTCTAATTATCTTCTTGAATATACAGTATATTCTCGCGTACAAGCTACCATGTAGGTTTCGAGTTCTATTCACCCTAAAAGACAACGTCCATAATCGTATTTTAAAATGTATTGCATTGAATTTATTAAATAAATTCAGTAAGCATCTACCGGAATCCCTCGACGTGTGCGGCTTAATTGTACATCGGTCACTATAAAAAAAATAATTTTTCAGTTACGATGGTTAAACTGTAAAATGTTTTACCGCGCTAATCGATTATTATGTATGCATATATCAAATTAACCAAGGGATTCTTGTGCTTTTCTTCTCATTCAAATTCTTATGAAAAAACGGTGGGGAGATAAGGCCAGTTAACTAGCATAATCTACGAAACATCGTAAGTGAGCGCTGTTTTCGCTAGGCTATTTCCATACACTGTATGACTTTTCATCGCTAACCATCGTTTTATGTTCTCTAAAGCGATCTTTAAACGCTTTGTTTAGACACCCATCCAGTTCGGTTTTTGTTCAACATTATCGAAAAAAGCAGGTGAAGTAGGTGTTAGCCTACCGTCAAATATCTCCCATGCTAACAACTTACCATAAACTACGAGATTTAAGGTTCACATTTTATACCTGGAGTATAAGACGATCTCCTCTTTTCTTCTGGTGCGGCTGAAGTTTTAAGGTTAAAAGGTCCCCATGTACGCCGAAATATAAGGTATATACATACATATATATATATATATATATATATATATATATATATATATATATATATATATATATGAAGAAATATACTCTTAAGGTGTGCTATATTTATGGGATAAAGTGCTAAATATCAGAGATAGAGCGTGTGTAAATATAAAAGTGAACATTGAAGTCAACACTTAGAGGCGACAGTCTGTTTCATGCTAGACGCAATCTATCTATCTACCTACCTATATATATATATATATATATATATATATATATATATATATACAGACAGACTGTTTTGCAGCTCATCTGTGTGGCTGGACATCCGATTGCCACAAGCCGGGATCGAAACCCCAATGATACCAAATTTTACCCCTAAGCCTTTGGCGCCCGGCTGATATGAAGTTGAATTTAGACGTATTTTTTAATACCAGTAACGAAGAGTCTTGCATCAGCAGCAGTAATAGTTATTGCTATATATATATATATATATATATATATATATATATATATATATATATATATATATATATTGTCATCCGATATGTGTGTGTCTGTGCATAAATAGTAAGGTAGATTGGTAAATCACGCCTTGGTATAACAAGGTCAAATCTAAATTATTAACTGTCTAGAGAGTGTGAGAAATCTACTCCATGAATATTCCAAAGTACATCCATGACGATTCACAGTTTACATATATTAGCATCCAGTGGTAGCTGTGGAGAGCCATAATCCCGTATGTATTGAAGAAACATGGTTAATAAATGAAGTAGTACTTGGAATTGTTTATCACCTCATTTGAATGTTAAAATAGAAACGAAAAAATGTATATATCACATAGATGGATATCATGTATATTTAATAGACCTCTTCCAACAATGGTACTTGTCTTAATTCATAAATACTAATGAAAAAACAGATATTAGCCGTTTCCTTATAAGGAAACATTTGACAATTATTGACCCACCAGCCAGTACCTCTTTTGGTTGAAATTTCTAAAATCTTTCTCAAAATATTTTTCAGGAAAATAAGTTTCTCAAGTTCTGTAGCTGTTATCGCTCCTTCCACTATAGATGAAGGTTTCCTTCCTAACCTTTCATTTGAAGTAGTGTGGAATATCAACATCTGTTGCTTCTGTTGAAAGTTCCCAAATAATGTGGATTATGTTATCTGGTACAGTTTGTGATTCTGTAGTGCCAGACCACAAGCTTCGAAGAAGGATGGTGTGAAGCACTATAAATGGGAGAAAAGCCAGACGGTCATACTTAGAATATTTCCTGGAGGGAATACGACCAGGCCGCTGGTGTGATCTATGTTCTAGATTGAACTATTCGCTGTGGGCTTGTAAATACCTCTATCGCTGGAGCGGTTTACATCAACAACAGGGGTTCGTTAGCCCTCGGACTGATGTCACTTCGAGGCTGCAATCTGTCACACGTGCATTCCTCCTACCCAAAGGGAATTAATCGATCTTTTCATCCCTACATAGGTTAAAAGACCCCTAAGTATAGTATTAGTTCATAAATATGGATGGTGTAGATTTACCTCTCAGATTATACCACTATGAAAACATCGATTATCGATTGATCGCCTTTCCGACATTGGTGCATCGACTCTAAGTACCCTTGACTAATATAAGAGATTTAGTAGTCTTATGTCTGTAAATCAACTTACAAACACAAAGCACTGACGGCGACTAGTAGCAATTACTATTACTCTAACGACTGAACAAATTAAATTCTGAAAATATGTGCTCGTTAAAATATTACCAATATCTGGCCTTTTCCACGGAATAGACATGGTCTCACCGAATTGACATCCATTTTCTAATTAATTTTCTTTCAGTTGACTAATCAGTAATCACTAGGGACTGATCGGCTTATGTCATATTAGCTTTTGAAATTACAAGCTGGCACAAAATTAATCTCTCTCTCTCTCTCTCTCTCTCTCTCTCTCTCTCTCTCTCTCTCTCTCTCCTTATGCCTCTCTTACTTTAAATATGTCCCTGTCGTGTCGATGGAAATATTAGTAACGATTTACTGGCCTGAATTATTGTTCACTGTCGTAGCCTCGAGCTACTAAAGCAGTCTAACGAGGTGCAGGACGACTCATTACCGCCAACTCAACGCCGCCGACTCAACACTACCGACTCAATGACATGCAATTATGAAATTATTCCAACGATTTTTTAAAAGCGAATAAAAGTAATTCATTAAGGATCGTTTTTAAAACATTGTTTTGGTTTGATTTGGTTTGTTTTGTTTTACGGCATACCAACCTCAATGGGTTATTTAATGCCGAAATTTTTTTTCCTGGTAATATTTTCTTTTGTCAAAAATCTATTTCTGGTAATATTTTCTTCCTCAAAAATGTATAGCTAGTAATATTATTTTAAAATAAGTATTGCTGGTAATATATTTTTTCAAAAACGTATTGCTGGTAATAGATTTTTCTTAAAAAAATTATTACTGGTGATAATTTTTTACAAAGTATTACTGGTATTAAAACCTATTTTTACACTTTCATAATGCTTTTTACCCCAGTTTCGGGGTTAACTATTTGCCCATAGCTGGGACCCCAACAGGTGCTACCACCCCGGATCAGAGTGGACGCTCCTCAAAACCTCCTGATCAGAGGCCTTACTGTTGGGCGTAGTTTATCGTCTTACCCAGGACGGTCGTTTTTAAAACAACTATTTAAAATCGAATAAAAGTAAATTATTAAGGATCATTTTTTAATAGGAATTTATTTTAGTTTTAAGAATTATTAAAAATTGTATGTAATTACCCTCAAATATTTGGAGATCGTTGTGAAAAAACTTCTTCAATTTTAGGGGGAGGTGGATGATCTCCAAATTAATTGATCGAAAAATGAATCTTAGTTTTTTTGCAACTCCGTAATAAATTTCCACGACTCAAGGCCAATCCAAGATATGTGTACACTGTGACCACCAACACTGGTTGGCCAGTGTTGAGTCGGCGGTGTTGAGACGGCGGTGCTGAGTCGGCGGTGTTGAGTCGGTGGTATTGTGTCGGCGGTGATGAAATGTGCTCTACCGGTCTATCTATCTAATTGAATTCTAGTGTTAATAATAAAGGTCGGATAAATCTGGATCGATTTCGCAGAAGCTTTCTGCGAACCGCTTCAACAACCGAGGAGTTATGATTATGTTGTGTTCTGTGCCGTCGCTGGATTATTAATAAAAACAGTATCAACGAAAATGGTCATCTACATTTGATATTCGTTTTATTAATCGTAGTAGCTTGGATTCTAAGAAGATTTAGGAATACTGACGTGACAGGAACTCATGTCACCCACTGGCTCTCTGACGGTGATATTAGCCGGTCGCCAACCTGGCTGTGAGAGGCATATCAACGACTTCTTGAGACCCTCTGTTCAATTCACGCCGTTTCGGACTTCGAAACCCAGACAAATTCACTGTCAGAATACCTCATTTAAGAGTCACTCTGATCAATCGCTGACCATTCTGGCCCTGGCCTTCGCATTCTGTAACAATTACTATGTCAGTCTTTTCATTTATCACTGCTGTAGTGTAGCCTGTTTTTACTTGTTGGTTTCGGGATTCGCATCAAGGTAGTGGCTAGCAAGTGTGTCTCATAATCTTAATAATATAGTCACTTAGATTCCTATTGAAAGCCTTAAACACGTAGCCTGTTGATATATTATCTAAGCTAATGGTAATGGAAATATAAGGAAACAGTACTGCTGTTGGTTGAAATTAAAGAAATGTTCCCTTAAAATAATTTCAGAAAAATAAGTTTCGCAATTCCATTATTGATGGGATTTTCCTTCCAAACCTTTTTATCTGAAGTATTGTTATTATTTTCTCTTCGAGATGCAAGTGTATTCATTTTTGCTTTTGCTACTGCAGAGAATCATCAAGCGATTTATATTGTATTATTTGGTACAGTTCTTTGTTTGCGATTCTGTACTACCAGAAGAAGTGTGGTCTTCGTCAAAACCTTCAGGTCCGACTCGTTCAAAGACATTTTCAAGAATTGATCTGAGAAATCAGTTGTATACAGCTGAGAGTTTAGATATTTCTGAACGGGTTTATCGCCATGTATTAGCCGGTCGCCAACCTGGATGTGGGAGGCATATCAACGATTTCTTGAGACCCTCTGCTCCAAGCTGGTGTAGTTTTGGACTTCACTTTTTATTGTGAAAGTCTCGAGGCTATTTAAGAACGTGACTCGAGTTTTTGTTTTCTTTTTGCAGAATTCTAGTCCAGCCTATTCTGAGTTCAATTTATTTTTCGCCTTTATTAAATTTGTTACAACTGATCCATAGGCGGGGTATTTGAAGTGTTTAGTTTTTTTCTAACTCCACATACTGAATTTTTGTTTACATCAGTTTAGGCGTAATGTTTTAAGATTAGAAAACAATTCTGTAAGAGTACTTCTTATAAAATCTATTTTATTGAATTTTATGAACATCAAACTCTAAAATATTTCGTAATTGGCTCGGTAGGTCCACTAGAAATGAATCTTAACGACTGGGTTCCGTAATATTTTTGATTTTTTTCGAACACGTGTATATTAGATTTTTAATTAAAAATAGAAACGAATCGCTTCTATATTTAAATAGAAATCTAATATACACGTGTCTTCTAACATAGTTACAACAATATAATATATATATATATATATATATATATATATATATATATATATATTCCGTTTCGTCGCGTATTCTCTTTTATTGATTTAATATTCGCCACACAAAAAAAAAATAACAATTCAACTCCCAAGTGTCTGGTCTCAGAAGAAAATATATATTTTATATTACTTTCCTGAGGTAAGTTGTAAATTGATGTTATATTCTAATTTTTAACATATAAAATACAAAATTGGAAGCTTAGTAAGATGCAATCAGATATGGCTACAAACTTTTATATATGGCAGACATTGTCTCTGTTTTCTTATATTACCGAGGTGTTTTTATATTTACTGAATCAATCATTCTTAAAAGTGAAAGAGAGGATAAGTCAACAGTGAGAGAGCAACAGAGAAGGTTACGAGCGGAAGAAAGGCAATCACACTGTGTTTTAGAGCAGGTGTTTTCAAACATTTTGACTTGCAGACCCCTTTATATTTAAGGCTTTACCTTAGGGACACCCTTATAAACGCTTATGAAATTTATACATAAATATTTGATGAATATAATATATAATTTTACATTAATGCAAAAGCCTAACAGCCAATGAGAAAACCGGAAATCGCAAAATAGATCCAAAATTCAAATCCTTTGGTTCCTTCTCTGCATGAATAAAATCCATTATATTTATCAATTTAAGATACAAATTATATTAGTATATCAAATCTATGCAATACTTTATTGAATCAATTTATTTCATGATCGGTCCATAAGTTACTTATAAGCACTTATAAGTTGCACGTCACTCATAAAAAAGTGTTTGTTTTCCACGGACTCCCTATCCAAAGTCCAACCCTTACCTCACAGTCGGTGGGGGGTGTAAACGGTAGTGTCAGAGCTATGCCGCCCGGAACTTCGTTCTTGGTAGGGCCACCCAAGGCGGACAGGTCTGACACACACGCCGGCTAACAAGGGCTCTGGTGAAAATCCAAGGAGCGTCTGCATCGGTAACCGGCGGCTTCTGGTCGTTCCTGTCTCTGCGTCTGTGGGAACCCCGCGGCAAGTAAGAACGTTATCCGAGTAGGCCTGGGTACCCTACTTCTGTAATTTATCCCAAGAATCTTCTTCTCATAACAGGAAGAAGCCGGCTCAATCCGCCCAGGGTGAATGCCGCATCAGTTCAGTACAGTACTCCCTATCTTGTCCTTGCGGACCCCCTGTGGTCCGCGGACCACATTTTGAAAACCCCTGTTTTAGAGAACAATTGCAAGAAAGAAGAAATAATATGAACCAAGAGGAGATAGAACTTTATCTTCAGAACAGAAGAAAAGGAGATCAAGATAGAAGAGAAGACATGACTCCCGAAAAGAGACGAGCTTAGACACACTAAATAAACTACAGAAGAACTCAAAATTGATCGTTGCATTTAAATATTGCATTAATATCTAAGCTTAACTTTTAAAATTTCAATGATAATTCTTCTGTCACGACTTAATTTAAAGACAACTTGATGTACGTAGGTCCTTACTTTCCGTACAAACAATTATTATTATTTCATGGCTGACCATAGCTGGATTTCGAAACAGTGATCAAGATAGAAAAAATGATATGAACCAAGAGGAGAAAGAACTTTATTTTCTGAATAGGAGAATCAGAGATCTAGATAGAAGAAATCAAGAACCAAGAGGAGAGAGAATTTTATTTTCTGACTAGGAGAATCAAAGCTCGAGATAGAAAAAATGATATGAACCAAGAGAAGAGTGAATTTCTTCAGTTGCGCCTGTGAGAAGACAGAGGTGCAACTGAGAGATGATAAATAAAAGTAACCGGCCGATGGCAGGTAGGTATTTACTTGACACCCACCGAGTCAGGTGAGTGACACTAGTTCGATTTAATGTGGCGAACTCGAGCGCATAAACTCAGGCTAAGGACAAAAATTCCCCCGAGAACCCGTGCACCGATCCCTCTCTCTAGTGCAATGTGAAGGTGCAGCCCCGAGTATCTGTTCACCATGGCTGGACACCTCACAGTGTGATTTTTCATCAGTTGCGCTTCTGTTCTGTGATGTAGTCTCAACTAAGTCGCATTCTACCCGAAAAAACAGAGACGCAACGGAGAGATGAAAAAAACCTACCCGGCAGGTGCTAGGTCAGTATTATGAATTTCTAAGCCTAACTTTGATGTGTCTATAAGGCCGAAAGTGTGGAGCAGGAAGTGAGGATCGAACTCACAACTCAGTCATAATTGCAATGGCGATTGATAACCATTACACCCACTAAATTGAAAAAAAAAGGTCAGTCAATTAAGTGCCACACGCTTCGGCGATCATGTACTTTTCGAGACATAACTGACGAATCAGAAGTTTTTTTCCCGCAGTAGGTTACCATTCTTTTTTTGCGGTAGAAGACTAAAGAATCCAGTTTGTACTGTTATTCAACCCATAAATGGATGGAGAAGTGATGGTTTCATACTTTTCCCAAGGGTATTTGTGTGTAAATGAATATAAAAGACTCGAGTGGAATTCGAACACGGGTCTCCATCTTCACATTGCGTGCAGATATTCAGGACACCACAAGGTACATCCAAAAAGGTTACGGAGTGAGCTTTTGTGCAGCAAATACCTTTCAAATGCGACCGTAGCTTTTTATCTTCCGCAAATTTGGCTGCAAAACGACGGCTCTTCATGTACACAAGTGCGTCTTGGTTTCTGTAAAATACGGCTAACGACAGAACGTGTTTAATTCAGAAAAAAAAACTTCATCGATAAAATATTGCCAGTATCAGAAAAAAAATGGAAGAAGAATCAAAAAAAAAAAAAAGAAAGAAAAGAAAAGAAAATCGTTAAAATTTAATATATTATCTGAAAAACAATTTCTTTCCGGTCACTATCGCTCGGGAGAAAGTAAAGCTGGTGGCTTAGAGAAATCGGAAAGTATATGTCATGCGACAAAATGACGAGAAGGTGAGGAAAAACTTTTACTTTTGTTCGTCATCTCAAAGGTTGATGTGTTTTTCTATGGAAACCATGTTTCTAAAGATTGACTTCGAATTTCCTACGCCATTTTTGCTTCTTTTTTTTTTTTATCCTCTTATCCGCTTCATCAAGCAGGTCGTTGCGATAAAGAGTAATGAGGAAAAGACGGTGAATAATGATGTTCAAATGTTATAACGTACTGCATCTGAAAACGAATTCAAATCTTCTTTTTGCTTTTTTGCTGTCTTCATTAAGCAACGTCGAGCCTGGTTAGTGCCTAGATGGGTGACCGCTTAAGAATAATGTGCTGTAAGCTTCAATGTTTCTGGTGTGGACAATGATTAAGGGCTAAAAAATTTTAATCGTAGAGCCGGGTTCCAGTTTCATTTAGATTTTTTTATATTCTCTAACGGACAAATCCCCTTGGGGAAGGGTATTAATCCACCTGTTCTTCTCCCCAGATACGGGATAATTAGTATTAATTGTATCAGTAAATTATTATCACTAAAAATATCTTACAATCTAAAAACTAATTTATGGCTTTAAATCGCCGGTAAAAGTTTGATAGATCTTAAAAAATAAATCAATTTTGCTATCTTTACTCACATTTATTTTTCATTATACGCATTTGTTTTTTCCCCCGTTTTCATCATTAGCTTTATTTATTTATTTATTTATTTAATTGTTTTCTTTCTTTCTTTCTTTTCCTTTTTTCTTTCTTTCTTTCTTTCTATCTTTCTTTCTTTCCTTTTCCTTTCTTTTCCCTTTTCTTTCTTTCTTTCTTTCCTTTTCCTTTCTTTTCCCTTTTTTCTTTCTTTCTTTCTTTCTTTCTTTCCTTTTCCTTTCTTTTTCCTTTTTTCTTTCTTTCTTTCTTTCTTTCTTTCTTCTTTATTCTTTTAGGTCTTAATTTCTGTTTTCCTTTCTTTCTTTCTTTCTTTCTTTCTTTCTTTCTTTCTTTCTTTCTTTTCCTTTCTTTTCCATTTTTTCTTTCTTTCTTTCTTTCTTCTTTTAGGTCTTAATTTCCGTTTTCCTTTCTTTCTTTATGTCTTTCTTTCTTTCTTTTTAATTCCTTTTTTCTTTCTTTCTTTCATTATTTATTTATTTCCTTCTTTCTTTATTTCTTTCTTGTTTCCAACATTCTTTCTTTCTTTCGTCATTTATTTCGTGAATTTTTCTTTTATTCTTTCTTTCTTTCTTTCTTTATTTATTTACTTCTTAAAGCTTCCTACATTTTTTATTTATTTGCATATTTATTTAACTTTATTTTTCTTAAGATATCAGACAATTCCTTCTTCAGACATGTTTGGTTTAATTTCGCTTTTTGTGTAGACTATTTTTGCTTTATACGCCTCAAGTAGGTAAGTGTCCGGAGTATTATTTCAAAGCCCAGCAGAGTTTTTACCATTACTTTTTTTTAGCAGGATTGTACAATTCAGGTGTTTAATTATGTTTCTTGTGGTACGAAGATTATGTCGGTTGTAAGAAAATTCTGAATCTTTTCCTCGCTTCACGATTCAAATTGATACGATTTTTTTTACTATTCTCATATTTCATTCTTTCAATATTTTTTTACTAATTTCATTGTCTTATCTTTCTTTCACGAACCTGATTAATGCTATTTCTTTCTCTTTCTTTCTTTCTTTTTAACAATGGCCATCATTTACTTTCTTTTTTTCTTTTTATATTTTCCTTTTTTCCTTCTTTCTCTCGTTTATTCTCTTATATTTTCACTACCATAACAGTCAATTATTTCTTTGGAATCTGCATTGATTGCCTAATTAGAATATCTAAGGAATAAAGTATATAAATGCTCACACAGTAAAGGTAAACCAGCTCTTGGTATGCGATATATTGTCAGTTGTAACTATGCTACAGACACGTGTATATTAGATTTTTATTTAAATATCGAAAAAAATCAAAAATATTACGGAACCCAGTCGTTAAGATTCATTTCTAATGGACCCACCGAGCCAATTTCGAAATATTTTAGAGTTTGATGTCCATAAAATTCAATAAAATAGATTTTATAAGAAGTACTCTTAGAGATTTGTTTTCTAATCTTAAAACATTCCGCCTAAACTGATGTAAACAAAAATTCAGTATGTGGAGTTAGAAAAAACTAAACACTTCAAATACCCCGCCTATCGATCAGTTATAACAAATTTAATAAAGGCAAAAAATAAATTAAACTCAGAATAGGCTGGACTAGAATTGCATTGATTGCCTAATTAGAATATCTAAGGAATAAAGTATATAAATGCTCATACAGTAAAGGTAGAACAGCTCTCGGTATGCGAGTATAGTGTGTTAACCGGAAGAGGTGTTCGCTCATCTACCAATAATATTTGCTCAAGTTCCCGGGACTATCCCCTAGGCAGTACTTTTTCTGTATGAGAGACTTGGTTTTATAGCCAGGCGCCCGAGTCGTACACAAAATAGGTAAGTACCGAGAAAGCTTGATAATTTTTCTGATGTATTGCCCTTAAACCCATTTCAAATCGACCTTATGTCACATTCAGTAACGACGTGGGCGCACTGAAAAATGAAGTTCTCGGCACGCGACTATCTTTGACCGGCAGAGAAGGGAAACTCCTCTGCCAAAAATATTCGCTCAAATGGGGACAGGGAGCAGCTTGTATTTAATCCCCAGCGTCTCCAAAATATGAAAGTGCCGTGAGGATTTCAGACTTTTCTGCAGTTTTCCCGTTAAATTCACTATAGAGTGACTTTGTATTCCATTCAGGCACACTGAAAAATCTAGTATCGTGTTCTAACCGACAGAGAAAAATATTGTGCGACTCCACCAAGAAAACATCAAGGAAGTCGTTAAGTTTATCTGCCTGGGAAGTATCGCCAGTAAAGATGGTGGGGGTAGAGAGATTAAGATATCAAGTACCGAATCAACAAAACACGACGCGCTTTCAACACCCTGCGGCCAATCTGGAGATCAACAGCCCTCCTCACTTTACAACAAGATCCGGATCTTCCACACCAACGTCAAGTTGGTCCTACTTTACGACTCAGAAACCTGGCAGGTAACCAAGACCAACACCCACAAACTGCAGACATTTACCAACCGATGTCTCAGTAACATCCTCAATGTCAGGTGGCCGGAAGTCGTTTCCAGCGATCAACTGTGGGACAGGACCAGATAAACCCGAATCGAGATTGACACCAAGACACGGAAATGGGTATGGATCGGCTACACACTCTGCAAGCCTGCTTCTAGTATCACCGCCAGGCTCTTGACTGGAATCCACAAGGGGGGCTATAAATGTGACGACCAAAACAAACAGAAATGCTGACGCAGGTGAAGGCAGCCGGCACAGCATGGGCCGAGCTGAAGAGGATCGCCTGTAATCGCGTCCGTCGGAGAGATGTTGTTGGGGCCCTATGTTCCCCAAGGAATCAAGAGGCATAAGTAGAAGAAGAGGAATTGTATCCCATTCGGGACGCGAATATCGTAAGTTGACCGGCAGAGAATAATATTTGCACGGTAGCGATTATTTCACCGAAAAATCAAAAAAATCGTTATGCGAGATAAACTATATCGCAGGACTGATAAAATATGAAGCAAAGCATTTCATAACAGAAACATTTAGATGAATTTCATTTGTTATAGATTCAATTTTTTCTTAATTCCTCTTTGTATCACAAGGTTAGAGGTCAAGTATCAGTTCAATGAACAACAGAGATTTTCCATTTCTTGGCATTGCACGTTTGTTCTCTCTCTCTCTATATATATATATATATATATATATATATATATATATATATATAGCAGTAGAGCCCGTCGTTGCCCGGGGATGTAACAATAAGAGATAGATCAAGTATCGACCATCATACATAAAGACTGAAAAATAAAATTGACAAAGATTATTGTTTAAGGTTGACAGACACGCATGTCTTAATTAGTTTTTTTTGTTTTTTTTTGTTTTGTTTTGTTTTGCTTTTTTTTTACGAATTGGTCAAACGCAAACTCAAACAAAAACATTGTTTTCAATCGTTATGAGTCTACCGATTGAATAGAATTTTATTATAAACATTTGTCTTGTAAATAGAATTTTTAAAGCATTCTGAATGTAAAAATAAAGAAAAAAAGTGTGCAAGACAATAAGAAACACTACCTGCCAAAAAAAAGTGAAGTTTTGTTGAAATCGGTTGAAAAATGTAGGAAATCCGATCCCATGTATAAACGAACACAAACACACACACACACACACAAACAACCTGGGTTTTATAATAAGTATAACTCGATATGGGTTGCCCCCCTTTCATTCTCACGATGCCTTTTAATCCTGTTTTCAAATTGATTTTATGCAAAAACAATTGTGTTTTTCCAATTTTTCAGAACCACCGCGAGGTAATTTTAAGTAGTCCTGTGAAGTTTTGTTGAAATCGGTTGAAAAATGTAGGAAATTCGATCCAATATATAAACGTACACACACACACACACACACACACACACACACAACCTGGGTTTTATGATAAGTATGATATATATATATATATATATATATATATATATATATATATATATATATATATATATATATAATTTACTCAAAAATTATAACATAAACATGTTAAAATATCGCTCCAAAAATAGCCATTTTGTTTCAACACTTCTGGTGGCTTCTCAAGTAATGGTGTTGAATAAAGAGTTTTAAATATACAAATTAACGAAACAGCCCTCAGTTTTTGGTTACTGGAGTTTTTATTCCGTATACACAATCCTAAACTATACTATATATATATATATATATATATATATATATATATATATATATATATATATAACCCAAATCCTTAAATGATCCAAGTCCCCTGCGTCTACATGAAATGCTACATATTATTAACTTTTCTAACAATAAAACGAAATGACTGTAATATCTAGACAGTGCACAATGTTCACGTTAGAATATAGTTAATGGAGTTTTCATAAAAATCTATGTATACAATTATATATCCATTATTTTATTATACATAATGGTACATGCAATATTGATTTAATTCCGTGAATAAGCATTGTATTTTAGGTTCAAAATTACATAGAACCATTTAATCGTACCCGAGTCTCGTTTAAGTAGTTCTAAAATATATAAAAATAACTTTAAAAAAACAAAAATTAACCTGCTATTAGAGATATAGATATCTCTCAAATTGTTTCTTTGTAACTTAAATGCATATTCTTAAGCGGAAGTATGAGATCGTGTCTTAATATGACAGTTCACCGAGACATGTATGAATACCTCCCAATATCTAATCTATATTTTTATCTTTTCTGCGTAGGCCTTATTAATCAAAAGAAATTTAACAATAAGATTTAAAAATCGGGTTCACCACTCCTAGTTAACTATTTAATGAGCAAACGTATTGCTTTCTGTTTTCAAAAGTAAATCGTTTTTATCACAAGTTAACGAACATTGCCTGATGCCGGGATAAAAAAAAAGAAACTTTTAAGTTCTGAAACATAGAAATTTCCGTGTCGCAATGTAAAATATTTTTAAATAAAAATATCATATATATATATATATATATATATATATATATATATATATATATATATATATATATATATATATATTGGCAGCATGTCTTGTTGAAGCTAAAAAAACACATTTGGACATATCATAAGTTAGTTAGCTTTCCTGACGTTTACATTGTGAAATTTAAATCTTACATTACATAATCTTGGAATTTCTCATTTCACAGGTAAAAAAAAATTAGCTTTCATATTAACACAATAATTTTGCCAGCGAAAAATGAGGAACACAACAATTTTTATCTGAGAAAAAATAAAAAAAAACAACCTGAGGTTCGAATCCTGTCGAAGGACGAATATTTCCTATGAAAATTTCTCGGACATTCAGGCCAGTAAATGTTATTTAATACTGTTCATTATAAACAGAGCATTTATTTAAATATTTGTATCTATAAAAAGAATATTAAACATAAAAATGTCTTTAAATAATTGTCGGACTTTGTCCATTTCATAATGTGTGAAGTCATTTGTTTA